GTCAACGGAGGAACAGCGGGTAGCTGGATTGGAGGCTAAGCTCTCCGAATTATCTGATGTTGTTGGTAACTATTCCAGAGTTCGACAACAGGACCAACTAGCCATACAGTAAGCATTTGCTTTAAAGTGGATTCCAGAACTAACTGGGTACTCAGAGAGCATTTAATTAATAGACTTCAGGACAAGCTAGCTATACTCTGCCTCTTTTTTGTAGACTTCAAGACTACCTAATTATACTGTATTATTTAAAAGTATAGGTAGGGAAAAGTGAAAGCGGTTTGGTGCAGTGGAAATGATTTGGTATCATAACCTGGAGGTCAGGATTTCATTTCTTAGCTGTGCATTTTGTTTGTGTCCTTGGGGCAAGGCACTCTATCTACATTGCTTCAGTCTACCCAGCTGTATCAGTGGGTACCAGCAAATTGCTGGGACTAACCTGCAGTGGACATATCGTCCCACTTAAGGGAGCATCACACTTTCGTACATTTCACGCTACAGAAACTGGGGATAGGCTCCAGCCATACAGTATGAGCCCTAGTGCCTCAGTGAGTGAATTTACTTTAAATATGTGGCAAAGACAAGCCAAACCAGTCACTCGTCGCAAAAATCGATTTTAAGTTATTAATACAATAATGTTAGAGAGTAAAATAATAGCTATAAAATGCTAAAAAAAATCATTCAAATCGGATAATTCCTTATGAAGTTACAACTGTTTAAACATACAGCTGTTTAAAGAACAATATATGAGAAATCAGCCTTCAAAGTTTATGATTTCAGGCATTTCTCATGCAGAAACTATCATCAAATCATTAAAAAGTGTTGTTTTAACATTGAAAATGGGGAAAATAACAGCATAGAATGATGTATAGATATGTAAAGATTAGTTTAGTGCAATAGAATAGATTTTTAAAAATTTGACATTCCAGCATGTTTTGGCCATTTTCTCTGAAACACGATTTGCGACGAGTGACTGGTTTGGCTTGTCTTTGCCACATATAGGAAATAACCTAAAACTTGCAGCTTTACTAGGCTGAATTGCTCAAGATGTGGACCAACTCATTCAACAACTTTTCTCTCCAAAAGATGTCTAATCTGTGGATTATGTTAACATTATATAGATTGTTGTGACCATTTTTGTCATATTTTGACATTTCAATTTCAGACGATTAAAAGAAAGAATTACACAGCTAGATTTGGAGAATACAGCGTTGGCCCGGGCAGCAAACAAAGTTGAAACGATGAGTGACGACCTTGACGAAACGGCAAGCGTCACAGAAATATTAGAGAGAATAACCAAGTATAAAGGTCTCCTGAAACTGGCCAATCAGAAGGCAGAAAAACCTGTAGATGTTGATGGTAGGTTTCTTAAAGCCCAGTCCAGACTGTCAATTTTTTTTTTGGTTTTGCAAAAACATGTGACATGCCTAAATATGGTCATGATGACATCACATCATGACCATGTATAGGCATGTCATGACTATATATGGGCATACATCAGTTTTTTTTTCAAAGAAAATTTTATAGTGTGAACAAAACTTTCAAATAAGTTTTAATGTAAATACAGGTCTTCTTTAAATTTCAGACCTCCAATTAAAGACCACTTCAATTAAATCCAATTGAAGACTACCTCCAATTTAAGACCACTTTCATGCGGCTGCAGATGAACAAATATTTTTAAATTTAATAATACCATAGTTCCTTGGTAAAGGCCCAGTCCCTACATTATGTTCGTTTTCAGGTACTGGCATTTCACCAAGCAAAAACTCAGTATATTATTTGTAGATTTCGTGGGTAGCAACGCATCTCCCCAGTTTTGTGTTGAAGGCTGGTGTGTTGATACAAGGAGGAAGATCTGTGCATTTTAAAAAATTGTTGAACAACTTTTTTTTCCTAGAAATGTGCAATACTGATGATCATTCGAGTTTAGATGGTCACGGCGGCCAACATCACGCTTGCCAACAGGAATTGAAGCAGCTTAAAGATGAATTTGAACGATACAAGTTACGAGCCCAGTCAGTCCTGAAAAGTAAAAATACTAGGGTGAGTTTACTAACTACATTGATTCCTGAGCATTATAATGAGATGTAAAGATGTATTGTCCCATGCAAAATACCAAAAAAGTCAAAAAAAAAAAAATTCTTCCAGTGACTGAAAGTGTTTCTGTCATTTTTTGCTGTAAAATTATGGGTAACCATTTTTTAAGTACATTAATTTTTATGTTCTTGATAAATTTTATTACTTCAAAATGGGCAAGTTAATTTTAAAAAATTATTTTTTAATGATTTAAAAAAAAAATATTTTGCATGCAGTAAAATCTCTCGATTTCATGAACTTGTTTTGTGACAATGACGTCATTATGAACTACAAAAACACTTATATTTAAAAGTCTTAAAAAATAATATAAAATGCTACATCAGCTGAGAAAGAAGACTTTAAAAGAATATTTATCGTTTTCAGCCGAGTTGTATTCCATTTTGAGCTGTGATTGCTTCTCCAGGCAGCTACAGTCTGTACTGTAAGAATAGAGAATCTCAATTTTTGTTCATTAGGAGCCTATTCCAGTGGATTAGCAATTGTTATTAAGAGAATTATAACACTCGTTTTTTTATGTTGATGGTCACGTTCTCATTCGGAAATCCCTTCAAATGAATACTTCACAGAGAGTACAGATAATTTTGGCTTCTGTACAGAATTGTTTTGCTTAAGCCTACCTTACCATGTATACTATGTAACATAAGCCCCGCCACTGATATGCTACGAAACTTTGAAATCTCCTAATTACAAATTTTCTCGATTACGAACTCTGTTCAGACGGAGGGGAAATGCTAATATATATGTAAATCATATTAATATTTTTGCTAAATTATTACAGGACACAACAAGCAATATGGAGATTGATACGTTGCAGACTCAATTAAATGACATGAAGGATCGGATTGTTGTGCTTAGACAACAACTTGATGACCAAGAGGATGAAACTAAAAACAAGGTAAGAAAACTCCAAAGTGATTTTTAGATTGTTGTACAAGTTTTTAATAAATGTACAATCTGGGTGAATCTGATAAAATATAATAATTACCCATAAAATTCAACTAAAATTAATTAACTCATTTGAAATGTTCATGAACAAAACTTAATCGAAATATGATTTTCGACAGAGTGTTTGATGTATTTTCATTTGCTGATTCAAGGAGGGCCCAGCCGTTCTTCTCCCCTGCCCCCTTAATTTTTCAAGATTATAAAACAAATGGAGAAAAAAAGAAAATTCAAAAATCTGAGAGTGCCATTTCCAGTCATCCAGAGGTGCTATACTCATAAATTTTCTAACCTCATCCCTAGTCATGGTAGGGCTGAGGTGGATGGACCTTCTACAGTATATGTGACAGTGTCTACCTGGGCCCCCTCTATTTCCGATTCCTGGCCACTGCACTCAATGTGGTGCGTTCACAATATAACAATAATTCAATTTCATCATCAATTCTTTATTCCATATCTTCAAGACATGCAATAACACAGTAATATTAAAGAACTATCATACATAGAAACTTTGATTGATTTATACAAGTTGTGTGCATATTATATTCAATTTCAACTTTGAAACTAAACTTATAGAAACAATTAAAATATAGTTTAAAATACAAGCAATGCCATTACAAATTAAAAATGTGAAAAACAATGTTTAAATTTAAAGTAAAATTAGAAACTAAAACCTTTAACGATCCAAAATTGTTATTTTAAAAGTTAAAAAGGCTTGAAAATGTTTAGAATAAAAGGACAGAAATAATGCAGTGTAAAAGATTAAAACTGCACTTAAAAATTAAAACTAACCTAAAAGAACAAAAACTAAAAACAATGCCTAAAAACTTCACTAGTCAGCACGTTAAGACTTTGTGATTTGTATCAAAGCTGATTAAAATTTGAGATATAGAAAACAATTTGGATATTTAATTTTCTTATAGGTAGAAGATATGGAAGCTGCAATGAAGAAAGTAAAGGAGAACCACAAGACAGACATGCTTCAGACACAGCTTGATTTTCAGGTTTGAATTTTAACATATGAACACCAATTTTTCTTTCTCTAATGATATCCCAATGAATTATATCAGATCAGTGCCTTACATTCATGGATTCATCCTGTAACAAGCATTAACACTGTTGGACATGAATGAAATAAACATTTTTAAAAGTATGTATATCTAATCAGGTGTCTTAAACACAACAAATACATAAATTAAGAAGCAACTAATTACATAACAAATATATCATTTGCAAGACAGATGTTACGAAACAGTTAAAATTTCTATGACTATCTGTTTTGCTCTTTGGCATGATATTCTTCCTGCTTTTTTTTATTCTGAACCTGCATTTATATATATTATTGGGTAGAAATAATGCCAAATAGATCTTTATCAAAAAAAGTAACAATAAAAATATAATTTTTTTTTTTAAATTTTAGCAAAGATCAGCGGAGATGGAGCAGCAGATTCACAAGCAACGTGACCGCACCCTCGCTCTGCTCTCGGAGAAAGATAAAGAAATTGAAACTTTGAAACAACAACTCCATCAGAATGTGCCACATTTCCAAAGGTAAGTCAAGCAAAGTAACTAAATTGGTTCTATTTGAGTAACTAGCAAATGGAACCTTCCCCTAAAGTCCCACCCCTTCGATATTGTTGCTAAGGTCCCGTGACAGCATATACTTATGTAAATACGTGTGCGTGTTCCTGGCCCTGATCCTGTTTTGTTAACTAAGTTTGATTGACTTACCGGACAAGTCTATTTTGGCAGAGGACCAATTTGTAAGAAATGGGCTGTTTAATAGTGTACCGAGGACACAGAATATCCAATGTATGTTGGATAATTGATATACTCGCGATTAAGCACAACAATGCCTATTTCCAAAATAGAATACTATCTTTTAAAAGTGAAGTGGTGTATGTTTTAGAGGAGCGCTTACAAAAAAAAAAATGTTCAGGGAGCTTCTAAGGAAATTACTTTTTTTGCGAGGGGTGGGCGCCACCTCGCAAAATAAGGTGATTTTTAACTACTTGACTTAACTACTTTTTCGGGGGGTGGGGTGGAGGAGTGCATGTCCCCCTATCCTCGATACACCACTGCAAGCACACGCCCACTCAATGCTTCTCTCCTTCGATCTAAAAATCGCCCCAGCAAAAATTCCTGGCTCTGCATTTGCTTCCTGTTCATTTTATAACATTGTTTACTGTTCTGCTTTCACAAAAAATTGTATTTCTGTGCTCAGTGATAAAAGCCAGTCTTCCAGAAGATCGTCCAGTGTCTTCACTGACAATGATGATGAGCAAGAGGAGGATGCTCATGCCATTCAAGCTCAAGCAACTGTCAATCAGCTGCAAAACAGACAGTCAGCAGCTCTGGTGAGCAATCTATAATATTTAAATTAAGCAACTAATCAACTACTGTATATTTCCTCAATGTTTGCTGTTGTTTACCTGTATTTTTTTAAAATTAATGTTACCATGTTACCTTCCTTTGTTTATTCGCCTGTATTCATGTTCATTTATCTGTATTTATCATTTTCAACTTCATTTATATGTATTTATATTTATGCATGTAAATTTTAACTTTATTCTGTCTTTACCTTTATTTATCTGTTTTTTTACCTGTATTCAATTTATTTACTTTTGTTTACTTATTTTCCACCTTTAATTTACCTTTGGTCATATGTATTTATATTTTAGTCACCTGTATTTAGCGTTAGTCATTATTAACCTGTATTTACTCTTATCTCTTCCTCACCATGAAAAAAAAGGAAGTAACTGACAATTTTTGAAAAACAAGTTTTTTAGTCACTATCAAAGAACTAATAACTTGGAACATAGTGATATATTTGAGTGTGCTCAAATCCCACTAATTAACAAGTAAATTAGAAAGTATAATACATACTCCAAGTATTGAAATTCACGCCATCGTGTTGGGATTCAATATTTCGACATTAATTATGTCATCATTAGGAATGATGATGTTAATAATAATAATGTCGAAATATTGAATCACAACATGATGGCATGCATTTCAATACTTGGAGTATGTATTATACATTCTTATCAGAGATTACTCAGTGGACCTTTCGGTTTTTGGAAAAAAAGTAATTAACAACACAAAAAGGAAGTAAGAGACAAAAAATACAGTGAAAACCACCAGGGGACAAAATCAACATTCTCCATATTCCTTAATTACTCAAAGCAATGCAAAAATCAGTTGCTTCCTTTTGTCATGGTGGGCCAGATCTCATAGTCAATTTAGTTTATATTTTTCACCTTTATACAACATTTTTACCTATTCTAGCTTTTTTTAATAATTCTTTTTCAAAATATTTTTCAATATTATAGGCAGCATATGCTGATTTAAAAATTCACATTTATAAATTCATTACACAAAAACGACCAAACAATGGAAACAATACAATTGAAAACAAAATATTTTGATTAAAATGATCAGAAACAACTGTAAGTTTTTATTAATATTGAAATAAAAAAAAATAAATAAATACGAAGGAAGACACAAGCAAAGAGAGAAACTTTGAAATTGGGGAAAAATTATTAAAAAACAAGGAATGACATTAGCTTTATTAACTTTAAGTTTTATTGATCTGATATTCACATGTGTTTCCCTTGCTTTAGTTCATCTGTATTCTTTTACTTTAACTCTATCTCAGAAGTCAGAAAAAGTACAGGAAGCAGCTTAGATGAATAATATATGGAACAAAAATGTTTTTCTATGTAAACCTTTGTCAAATAATACAAATTGTATAATGTTTTCTTAAAGATGAAAGGTGTTGGAACTGCTTCCCTTCTCCATTATGCGGAAGAACAGTCGAGAAAAGAAGTGGAACTGACGATGATCAAGAAAGAAATTAGAATTAGAAACGGCATTAAGACAACTCCAAGAAAAACATGCTGCATCACAAGAAACCTACCAAGAGGAGGTTGAGAAACTAAAGGAAGAAGTTGAAAAATGGAAACGATATCGGTATGTGTGTTATTTATATACAGTATATAAAAACTATTTTGTTCTATTATTATTATTATTATTATTATTATTATTATTATTATTATTATTAATATTATTATTATTAATATTATTATTATTATTTTTAATATTAATTTTATTATTATTATTATTATTATTATTGTTATTGTTATTGTTATTATTATTATTATTGCTCTTTTTTTTAAACTGTAAAACAGAAAAAAAAATCAGTCTGCCACGTAAACTTGGACCTGTGATTTATCCACTGTACAGGGTGAAAAACAAATTGTATTACCCAAACCTAACAAACCCAAGGTATAGGGTTGGGTTTTTTAAGTAAAAATGTATCTTTTTTATCAAGGATGAGCCCCAAAATACTTGTATAATTTTTCAAAAAGCTCATTTTCAAGCTTTAATTATTAAATAATATTATTTTATCCCTGTGGTTACCATTTTACCCAAAATATGTATTGGATGAGTATGATTATTTATTTTGTTTATTCAAAATGTTTAACCAGGGTGGCCCAATCACTCAAAAAGACTGCTCTCTCTGGGAGCCCTGGGAACAAAGTTAAAATTTAAAATACAAAGACAAAAACATCAAAGTAATAAAGAGTTTCTGTTTCCTGTGTATTTGTCATGACAATGAACTTTAAAATTAAGCCTAAGGTCTTTAGTAAAGAAGAATAATTCTGACCAACTTACCCTCATTTCCAGATATCACTGCTTGTACAAAACAGTTTTGAAGGTGTACATCAGGGGTGGGCATAAAAATTAATCAGAGGGCCAAAGTGAATTTTTTATTTGACACTGGGGGCCTCCACCCAAAACTTCAATTTTCCAAGTGTTCTTCCAGGGGTGGATCCACACCCACCTCAACCCTACCATGGTTATTGAAAACAAGTAGCAAACAATCGAGCTCTACCTTTGCCCGCTGCTGGATCGCCAGTGAACTTTTTTTCCTGTTTCCTCTCTTTAACTCAAATTTTTCTCTTTTTTTTATTTTTCCGCTTGATTGATGGCGTGGGGGCGGGGGCGCACACACACAGGCCCTCATGACACCTCCCCCCTCCCGCTGGATCTTCCCCTGGTTCCCTAAAATTAACCTTCATGGACTGCTTTTTGTACAACTTTATGCTCAGTTTTAATATTACATTTTACAGATGATCTGTGTAAAAAACGAAGAGTTATTTTCATGGGCGGCAACAAAGTCACTGTAAGGCTGCATGTGGGCCACAGGCCACACTTTGCCCACCTGTGGTCTACATGTTAAGTTCATAGAGGCATTTATGTCATCATTCAAAGAGAACACTAACTGGTTCGATTGTTTGTTGTTTACATTACATTATAGATCAAGAGAAGGCACAAATCTAGAGTATTTGAAGAATGTTGTGTTGGGATATATACAGACCGATGATTTATCCAGTAAACACAGTTTACTTCATGTTATTGCTACAATTCTACATTTTAGTCCAAAAGAGGTAAATATATCAAAGTTATACAATTGCTTTCAGGAAGTGTTTAATTTGGCATTTTAACATTAACACCCTCCTTTTTTGGTGTGTGGAGATCGATGTTAAAGGAACGGATTTTATCTAGGTAACTAATCAATTATAACCAACCTAATCACAGTCTTAGAATAATCAACCCTGTTAGACCACAGGGGTTCAAAGTTGGAAGAACCCACTCCCAGGAGAACACACCTAATCTTATTTAGCTGTGCATGGTATTAATGCCTGTCGGCAATGACTTCTTGGTGGTAATTAGTAAAAAGCATGCAAACATCGTGACTTTTATGTTACTTCAAAATGGGCAAGTTAATTTCAAAAAATGTTTTTATGATTTTCTTTAATTTCAATTTGTTTTTTCAGGTTGATAATGTAACTAAGAAATTAGCGGCAGGGTGGTGGGGATGATACCTGATGATCAGAACAAGTTACCCACTATGTGGGAAGTTGATGTCTATACTGTATATTTACTGTCTCTTATACACATCTAGATGTGTATAAGAGACAGCTGTTATCCTGTAGTAACTAGGCCTGGCGTGGCACCGTGATGAACTTTTCTAAGACAGGCTTTTATCGCTGCGGGGGGTCTTCGATTGACTTCAGGTAAAAGAATGACCAATCAGCATTCAATTACTTGTTCTGTAAGCGAGCGTACGTTTTGAGCGCAATGTTTTGAAACTCGTTTCTTGCAAATAAATATGCAAATGCTAATCCCGCTAGTCTGGGCGCCCGGCAAAGTTAAGCCAGACTTAACCTTGAGCCGGGCTTAAAGTAAGTCTGGCTTATCTCAAAGTCTGAACATAGCCTCTGTTTGTCATGACAATAAACTTTAAAATTAAGGTCTTTATTAAAGAAGAATAATTCTGACCAACTAACCCTAATTTTCAAATATCACTGCTTGTACAAAACAATTTTGAAAGTGTACATCAGGGGTGGGCATAAAAATTGGTCAGAGGGCCAAAGTGAATTTTTGATTTAACGCTGGGGGCCCCCACCCAAAACTTCGATTTTCCAAGTGTGCTTCCAGAGGTGGATCTTATTGCTCTTTTTTTTAAACTGTAAAACAGAAAAAAAAATCAGTCTGCCACGTAAACTTGGACCTGTGATTTATCCACTGTACAGGGTGAAAAACAAATTGTATTACCCAAACCTAACAAACCCAAGGTATAGGGTTGGGTTTTTTAAGTAAAAATGTATCTTTTTTATCAAGGATGAGCCCCAAAATACTTGTATAATTTTTCAAAAAGCTCATTTTCAACCTTTAATTTTTAAATTATATTATTTTAGCCCTGTGGTTACCATTTTACACAAAATATGTATTGGATGAGTATGATTATTTATTTTGTTTATTCAAAATGTTTAACCAGGGTGGCCCAATCAGTCAAAAAGACTGCTCTCTCTTGGGGCCCTGGGAACAAAGTTAAAATTAAAAATACAAAGACAAAAACATCAAAGTAATAAAGAGTTTCTGTTTCCTGTGTGTTTGTTATGACAATGCACTTTAAAATTAAGCCTAAGGTCTTTAGTAAAGACGAATAATTCTGACCAACTTACCCTAATTTCCAGATATCACTGCTTGTACAAAACAGTTTTGAAGGTGTACATCAGGGGTGGGCATAAAAATTAATCAGAGGGCCAAAGTGAATTTTTGATTTGACACTGGGGGCCGCCACCCAAAACTTCAATTTTCCAAGTGTTCTTCCAGGGGCGGATCCACACCCACCTCAACCCTACCATGGTTAGTGAAAACAAGTAGCAAACAATCGAGCTCTACTTTTGCCCGCTGCTGGATCGCCAGTGAACCTTTTTTCCTGTTTCCTCTCTTTAACTCAAATTTTTCTCTCTTTTTTATTTTTCCGCTTGACTGATGGCGTGGGCGCACACACACAGCCCCTCATGACACTCCCCCCCTCCCGTTGGATCTGCCCCTAGTTCCCTAAAATTAACCTTCATGGACTGCTTTTTGTACAACTTTATGCTCAGTTTTAATATTACATTTTACAGATGATCTGTGTAAAAAACGAAGGGTTATTTTCATGGGCGGCAACAAAGTCACTGTAAGGCTGCATGTGGGCCACACTTTGCCCACCTGTGGTCTACATGTTAAGTTCATAGAGGCATTTATGTCATCATTCACAGAGTACACTAACTGGTTCGATTGTTTGTTTGTTTACATTATAGATCAAGAGAAGGCACGAATCTAGAGTATTTGAAGAATGTTGTGTTGGGATATATACAGACCGATGATTTATCCAGTAAACACAGTTTACTTCATGTTATTGCTACAATTCTACATTTTAGTCCAAAAGAGGTAAATATATCAAAGTTATACAATTGCTTTCAGGAAGTGTTTAATTTGGCATTTTAACATTAACACCCTCCTTTTTTGGTGTGTGGAGATCGATGTTAAAGAAACGGATTTTTTCTAGGTAACTAATCAATTATAACCAGTGTAATCACAGTCTTAGAATAATCAACCCTGTTAGACCACTGGGGTTCAAAGTTCGAAGAAACCACTCCCAGGAGAACACACCTAATCTTATTTAGCTGTGCATGGTATTAATGCCTGTTGGCAATGACTTCTTGGTGGCAATTAGTAAAAAGCATGCAAACATCGTGACTTTTATATTACTTCAAAATGGGCAAGTTAATTTCAAAAAATGTTTTTATGATTTTCTTTAATTTCAATTTGTTTTTTCAGGTTGATAATGTAACTAAGAAATTAGCGGCAGGGTGGTGGGGATGATACCTGATGATCAGAACAAGTGACCCACTATGTGGGAAGTTGATGTCTATACTGTATATTTATTCATCTATATTATAAATACTTTTCTATTTTAATAACTGTATTCTACTTTAATATTTCATCTGGTACAGTATGTAATATATTTATAGATTTTAATGGAGAGCTTATTGTTAAATAATGATTTTTTTTTTAATGAAACAGAGGAGGTTTAGTGCTGTATTTATTAACACAATTATGTTCATATTTTGAATTGATTTATTTATTTCATTTTTTATTCTAAGGTAGTATTCAAAAATTGCTTCAATATCATGATATGAATTTAGATTTTAACTTAATCCTCAAATAAAACAGATTAAAGAAATTAGTTTAGATTAGTCTTGCTTATTTTACTAGACAACAGAATTTACTGGACCAAAGGTAAATAATACTTACCATATATTCATTTAAGATAAGATTACCTAAAATCTCTATAGCCCACCAATAACATTAACAGCATTACAAAAAAACCCCCAAAAAAAACATTAAAAATACCATAATTTAACAAATTCAACTAACTATAAAGTAAAAGAGACACCACAACAAGATTTGATACTCAGGTAGCTTAGACATGTATTAACAAATGGTGCAACTTTCATGATGGGGTAAAAGTGCCATCAAGGTCAAAGGTCACTTAGAATTCGAGTGTTTTTCCTAAATTTTTAGTGTGAGCTTTGGACCCCTATGAAATTTTTAAAGAGTAAAAGCTCTATCCTTGCTTGGGAGACAGAGTGACTGCATATGACTATATAACATATACAGTATATGTAATATCATACTATTATGTTTTATATTTATGTTATTTTGAGGTTAAAAATGAAATTTAATTCGACCGACTGAACAAATTGTCGTTTTCAGTAGCTCATAGAGAAAAAAGGATATGAGATAAGTTTTATTTTATTCCAGATCTGAGTTCCTTGGGCAAAACTGACTATATGTAGAAATTTTTAGCTTTGTATCTTAATTTAAAAGCACTATGAAGGGCATTCCAAAATGGAAAATATTCAAAATAAGGGATTTGCACACATTTAACACAATTAAGTACCTAAATTTGACAGGCTGTAACTTGGAAATGACTTGGATTTCGAAGTTTTTTTTTTGTTTTTTTTTTGCATGTGTTCATTATACAAATAGATCAACCTTATAACAAATTTTCAGCAAAATCCGAGAGGTGACCTGAACCATTTTCCAAAAAAATTGGTTGATTTGACACGGAATGACCCTATAATAAGATATTAATATGGGACCACAGAAAAGTGGTCTTTAAATGGAGGTGGAATTGCAGGATCTTTAATTAGAGGGAGACTTGTATTTACACATGTCTAGGCTCCTGTTTCTGCTCACCTGCTAGCTTCTTCTATATTTAACTCACTTATTATGTGAGTGTAAATTCATATTCATTTTTTTCAAAATCTTTGTATCTGTACTCACGAGTGTTCGATCCTATACAGTTGTGTACTCAATCTTTCTGTACTTAGATCCTGTATTTGGCACAGAGTTGCATGTCCTTATAAAACTACATAAAAAAGTTGCAATCAGTTTGTGAGAAGTTGTGAACATTAACCAAAACTGTATAAAAATCATTACCAGCTGGATAATATATGCTGACACCAGGTGTCGAAATTATAAAACTGATGGTCTCTGGTTTATATCGCTGCATGAAAAAACGGGAGGTAATAACTCAGTTTCATTTTGGTTGATTTTATTTTAAGTAAATTGATCTTTATAGCTCAGATTTACATTATTAAATAAATTATATAAAATCTGGGATCCTAATGCATTTTGGTGGAGTTTATTTTAAGTACAGTAATTGATTTTTATAGCTATAGTATTTACATTATTAAATAAATTATATAAAATCTGGGATCCTAATGCATAACTAAGTAAGCAATGTTTAAGGTACTGAAAGTTTACTTGGTAAAACTGTTGTATGTGTATCCACAGAGGTGCTAATACCCTATACTGGTACTGCATATACAGTAAATAAATAAATGCATTCTTTCGTATTTAAAAATAAAACAAAATTTGAGGTACTTTTGCATTCGTATGTGATGTAGCATTCAGGATTGAGGAACTTTGAACTATAATTTCAGTTTTAAATAAATGCATAAAAGCAATACAGTGTTTTCTTTAAAGATCCGTTGTAATTTTCTTTCTTGTGTACGGTTATGGATGTTCAACTTTAACCTTGCTTAATATGCTGCTATTTATTTTCGGATTAAATAAATTTGAATCAAATATGAATTATCTGTTATTTATTTACTATTTAGCACATTTCATACTAATACCTGACATGCTTAAACTTGTTGCACATTATGGACCGTTCCGCTACGCCCCGCCATTTAGATATTGTTGCCAAGGATTTTCCCGATGGTATGTGCGATGTTCCCGGGAGCGGGGGGAACGTCACCGACGAGACCGTAAATGGGCGTGGCCGGGCATCACTCAAAATCTCTATTAGGTGGTCTGGAGGCCAAGTTAATATGCTTACTTTCAAGGCATCAGATTATTTAAAGTAACTTTTTGGCGAGTTGATTGGACGAGCAGTCAAGTTAGGGGCACCGTAACCTTCAGCTATAATATCGGCGCTGGTTCGAACGGCTCACTCGCCAATGGTTCCAGTGGTGGAACAAGTCTTCTCGGATAAGGACTTTAAACCGTAGGCCCAGTGTACGCATTTGGCTCGTGTGCAGTTTAAAGAACCCGGTAATCCTTCGAGAAGAGTAGGGTGTTATCCCGGTGTACTGGTCCATTAAGTCCCCTATTGTTAAATGGATATGCCATGTAGGACAAGTGATTAAGTTCACTTATTTGGCATATCCTTGGCGCTCGTGCCTAAAGAAATGAAATGAAAATTATTAAGATCGATCTAAATTTGATTTAAATGTATTAAATAACGTAAATTGTATTCGATCTATAGCAATAATTTTAGGGGCCTGTTATCGAATCTTAAATGACAAATCCGTGTAATATATTTTTTATCTAAAACTTTCTAAAATTCTGAATGTTATTGTTGCCGTTATTTTTAAAACAATAAATCAATGTCGCTATCAGAACTGTCTTTATCAAGATCAGGCGCGTCGGAAGCTATTTTTATTGGTCCGGCCAAATATACGCAATCATCATCGCATTAACATGACTTCTTTTTATTAGTTTTGTCTCTGTAGCTCAAAACACGCGCTATTCTATTATGTCAATCATTCATTTGTCACCATGCGATTTCATATATTAACGTACGTAAAAGAGTTAAACATGGCTTTAAAAACAGTAGAAATTATATTTTAAAAATGTTTTACCATACGGCCTGCTCAGTATGTTGCAAAAATGTTCTAAAAAAAATTGGCACGTGTTCGTCTAGATAACAACACTAGGCCTACCAGCAGTCTGTTATCTGAAAATCTAATGTATTCATCTTGCTTAATTCAAAAGACATTTAATAGGTTTACTAACATGTTTAATTTAGGCCACATTTTTTATATGTATTTCACAATATCTGTCAACTCGTATAATATAGTCGTTCGTGTTTCTTGCAATTTATTTAGCCTATTCATGGAGGAATAAGCATACTGCACCCTGTGTATATGCAACATATGTGTTATTTAATTAGCATCCTGTCATCGTTTTAGAGCAAAATGCGTAGATATTGCTGAGGTGCGAACATTTTGAGAGTAAACCTCTAGGCGCCTGGAAATTGCAATCTCATACCTTAAAAAATCTGACCGGTAATTCATAATCAACAATAAACAAATATTTTTCCTAATACATTTTGAGTGGGCGCGGTGGCACCGTCTGCACCCAACTCCAGCCTCCCCCCCCCCCATCCCACATACGCCCAGCCGCATTTATATCAATAGTATCCACTAAGTTCGCCCAAAATAAAATTTTATTTATTTATTTATTTTTTAAAATCGAACAGTAGGTCTCTCGCGAATTACATACTTCTCTTGGTTGGTCATTTCTTAACGAAAGGAGAAATAACCATTTAGTCACCCTTGTTAACAAATGCTTGAGTGGCAGAGTCCCTTCTCTCCAAAACACTTTCACCCCAGTTGACAGTGTACATAACTATTCTACCAGATCCAGTTCTGCAGGAAATTTAATTTTGCCTAAAGTCAGAACTGAATCTGGTACTTTTAGGGGTTCTCGAATTTGGAATGCGGGGTGGGTAGGTAATTTTTTACTTAATTCGTGTTTTTTTTTTTTTTATGTTCTGTGTTGTTTTTCTTGAGATTTTAAAGTTTTATGTGTACTGGGCCCTCTGGGAGAACAGTAACTTCTTACTGAAGAGGTAACCCAGTATAAAGAATAAATAAATAAATAAATAAGCACGGAGCAGCTGATCAGTGAGGCTGACATAAGCTTGAAAATAGCGCATGAGAAAAATATGTTCTATAAGGATGATTATGAATCATGAGCTTTCACTAAACTATCCTACGTTAATAAAATCGCCGGCTGCGCGGATGTGGGAGGGGTGGGGGTGTGCAGACGGTGCGATCGCACTCCCTAAGTTGTATGAGGAAAAATATTTGATTATATTGTTGATATGAAATAGATACATATTTTATTTAATTAGCATACTGTCATCATTTTATAGCAAAATGCTAGGTTTTTATAGTTTTAATCTTTACTAAAATGGCTGGCCTGTTTCTGAGGTATACATAGAAAATTTTAAACAGTGATTTTAATTTTGACTTTTTACTACTTTACTATTAGTAAAGTTAATATCTTAACGTATTTCTCGTCATTAACAAGTTGTCTTGTGATTTTTCATGTAATTTTATCCTTTTTAACCAAAGGAAAAACAAATTCCTACATTAAAATGGACAATAAAGTGTTCTTAAATCTAGAATCTTTTTTAAAGGTATTTGAACATCCGTCAACTTGTGTAAATAAAACAGACCTACAGTCATTGTTATTCATTTTACTTTATATAATGTTTCGTTTTAATATACATTAAATGCTTTTAAGCATCAAAATTGTTATAATTAAAATTGTTTTGATTTCGAATTAGTTCACAGTCACATTCATATTCACATGTATAATTATAGAAAATTTAAAGTATCAACAATAAATGAAAATATGAAAATGAGATGTAATGAATTACATTAGAAGCAAAGCTTTTAACATGTAACGTTTTTAAAAAAAACTTAATCTAGACCTAAGAAAATTTTAGATGTAGTATCCCCCGCTGGACACCATCCCGGTATTTCTAAGTCGAGGTTTCGGGGCCTGAATAAACAAGTGAAATGTTGTACCAGAATTAATCTAGCATTCTTAGTCATCTAAACTTGAAACTCCCTTCTCTTTCCGTAATGATGGGAAAATGTATCGCTTGTGTCTGTAATTCTATCCTTTTGACTTATATGCCTTTGACTGTTTTGTGATTAATTAATATGCCTACTTGTTTGTACCTTTTGGATAATGGCAACGATTTCTATCCTCCTCCAAAGGAGGTTATGTATTCACCCGATTCTACCTATAATGATCTGATAATTATCAGTTTCGGTGACAAAATAATGATCATGATAAGCATGATGACGGCATCAAACCTGATTAGGGGATCCTGATAGGATGATTGATGATTGGTGCTGTCACCAGTATAGAACCGCATCAGCATCTTATTTGTCACCGAAAATGATCATTTGGGTAAAATCGGTTGATGTACTCACCGTGACTAAATTTGGAATAAGTTTTTTAGATCCAGCCGTACGTATTTTAATCCAAAATTAGGTGTCCATAACCAACGATTATGGAGATAATATGCATAATGCATGCTAAAGGATACATAGGTTCAAAGGTCAGAAATACCATTTCCGGTCGCTTTTGGACAAAGCATTTCATTATAGTTCAAAAATGCAGCATGAATATTCTGAACAATTTGAGGCCAAAAATAAGTCTCTATGACCATGGACCAATGGTTATTGAGATGCTACAGGCTACTTAAGTTCAAGGTCGGAAACGTCATTTCCAGTCACTTTTGTATAAAACGTTGTATTAGTGCAAATAGAAACACGCATGTTCTGAACAATTTAAGGCCAAAATTAGGTCTCTGTGATTTAACGGTTATAGAAATAAGGATATACCCATGTTTGTAGGGTCAAATAAATAAATCTCATTTCTGGTCACATTGCATTAGTGTAGATAGAAACATTATGAACAATTTGAGCCCAAAACTAGGTCTCTGTTAACAACAGTTTTTTGAGATATGCTGGGTATCTAGGGTAAGGATCAGAAAATGCAATACATATGTACGAACAACTTGAGAAGTCCAATGCCAAAATGACAGGCACAGAACTAGTAGGCGTCACGAACTTGGCACACACCTTTTTTTTTTCTTTTCTACACATATCCAAGATATTTTGTGCCAAGTTTCATATTTTGGTAATAAATTGCAAAACTGGATCATTTAGCTGCTCTCATACAGCGGATGTGGATGACAGACCATCAAAATCTGGGATATCGAAGGTTGTCTTGATCAATATCCGGAAAATAAAAGTGATTTAAAACCAAATCAATACTTCAATAAAAGTTCTTGCACGCCAATCTTTAGTATAACTCAGATTTTATTTGGTATAGTGTGAAGACAGAATGACCTACTGCCGAAAAAGGTGCACAAATTCTGACTAAATACATTTGGGATACCCTGTAAACCTTGTTCATTGTATAAGTGAATAGCCTCTCCATAATTCTATATAATTATTTCTAATTGCTAAGCTTAATCATCCAATGATTTCACAGTGGTATTTCCTAACAAAGTTCATAAAGTAGACTACCATTTACCGAAAGGTCCACTGATTAATCTCAGATAAGAAAGTATAATACATACTCCAGTATTGAAATACACGCCTTTTATTACCAATGATCACAAGGAGATTCTAGGCCTTACCACAATGATCATCACAATTTCTCCCACTGTGATTACCCAAGGATAACTGATAATGTATAGACCTATTCAAAAACAGGCCCGTACGCAGGATTTTTATTGGGTGAGTGCAAACATGGTGGGGCTGAGGTAGAAACATTTATGATTATTGCACCACTAGATGTCTGAAATGCCACTCTCAGACAACACTTGAATATAATTCTTTTGTTCTCTCTCATTTAGGGGTAAGGCCCCACAAGCTGGCTACATTATACCTTTACCTGTTCAAGCTTTAAGTGTCGCATCTGTTAAATAATTTTATTGAAGGATATTATGCATTTATACATTCCATTAATAACACACACTAGAAAAACACGCATACCACATTTAAATTATAGTTAGGCTTAAAATAGTTCTTAAACGTTACAAATTTGTTAAATCACGGAAGACCTAACTACGGAAGAGTAATCATCGTATAGCACAGTGTAGGTTGCATACATCATATTCTTCCACCTAATGTTAATAAAGAGGCCTTGCACTATACGGTATTAATGCAAGGCCTCTTTATAGAGTAGATCAATTTATATATTCTGATTAACGTGCAACACCTTAATATTTAATATACAAAAGAGTATAAAAACGTTTCAAACTTTTACCATTGTCATATTCAAACAATACAGTTTTGTGCATTTTGTGAGTGAAAATAAAAATTTTGCCAGTCCCACTACCATTTTTGCCACTGCTAGACTACTGTAGTCTGTACTTTCACAGTACATGGTTGTCTTAATAATAATATTAATATATGGACTTGTATATAGCGCTTTTAACTTAAAATGAAAAAGCGCTTTACATCGAAATGAAATGAAGTCAAAATAATGGAAAAACGATAAAACGACGTAGTAACAACGATTTTAGTTTTTCCATGATTATGGCGTCATTTGAATTGATTTGTCAATATATTTTGTTATCGTATACACGATAAATTGTTATCGAATTGTCATTGGGTAAACACTTCTCTTATTTCGTTTACAGCTGTTTATAGCTTTTTATCGTTATTGCTGTAAGTATAAACAGGCCTTATGCACCTAGGTAATGAGATTTGCCTGAAAGAGAGTCCAATACATTGTTCAAGTATCACAGTTCGAAAAAGAGTCCTTAAAATATTTCGTCTTCTCTTGATGCTTCGAGACTTAGAGGCCTATGCTCGTTGGTCCCTCTTGATGCATCCGAGAATCATCCTCAGATACATACGGGCTGTAATTCAGTCGGTGGCCAGACCAGTTTCCTTTTTCCAGATTTTTACTGTCTTTGCAGGCACAACATAATTTGGAAGCGCAAATTTCTCTGCAAAAATCAATTCGATTACGCGTGCTTGCTGAAATATATAATGTTTATGATCTTCATTTTGTCTTTCTCCATTCGCTTGTCCGGCGTTTTCTTCTAGCGTGTTCGTTACTTAGCACAATTCAGAGTTGTATAAATTGGTTTGTTTATCTGGGTCATCTGTGTTATCCTGAAGGTCTTTAATTTCTCTCGCTAAGTCAGTTTTGAATGAATAGATGTTGAAGTCATTGAAGCTTCTAGAAAATACGGTTATCTTTTCTGGTCGTGGTTTTGAAACATTAATGAAGCACTCGTTAACAAAATGATCAGAGCCGTACCTGTTAGGCGATACGTAGCAATTCGCGATTAAATCATCATCTTGATGACATATTACGTGGTCAAGAATATGTCCAAGCTTATGGATGGGGCGATCGAAACTTGCTTAAAGTTATGTTCGTTTACAACTTCAAGGTAATGGGAAACATTGGTTTTGGTTGGATCGTCGACGCGAACATTTAAGTCTCCCACATTTATGTGCTTACCGAATAGATTCGCAATATCATGCATAAGGCTAAACATATTAGTTGCTGATGGTGGATAGATTAGTAATGCAAAGCGTGCTCGAACTCGTCATAGGTGAGATAATAAGTTTCAGAAAATTCTTGAAAATTAAAGAGATTTCACCATGTTTTAGGAAGTTAGGAAAAGTGGAGCCTTGCGGTGGTGCATACTTAGATGACAACAGTCATCGGGGCTCATCCACGATTCGAACATCACAACCACGTCAACGGCTTGAATATAGTCATGGCCGTTATTACATGGTGAATGCGAATTCCCCATTTGAACATCTGCTGCTATTACAGATAGTATAATCCTACTGTTAGCTCCACCACGATTTTCGTGTCTCCGACATCGCTTCCGAGCCATGGTATGTGGCGGTTTTGAACATGCAAATTATCGGAATCCGTACTTTATGTGGCAATGAAAAACAACAATCGCTATAATAAAATTGATAAAATGTAAAAAATACTGCGTCACAGTCACAAAACTGTATATAATACGGTGAATAGAATGCTCACATCAAAATGGCAAAACAGTAACATCAAAACTGCAATCACATCAAATCTTCAGAACGAAAACAGAACGCAAAGCTGGCCTTAATTTCTCTGCCGGTTGACGTTCTCGGTTACAACATTGCTGGCAAGTTAGTACTTCCTAGGCCAGGATAATGCCCTTCCCTTTCAGGTTCCGGCTGGAACTGTAATAGGTAAACAATCAAACGAAAATCTTACATCCTCCGATTCAACGCACGAGATAAACAAACGTCACAAGGTTTTGGTCAGGAAGATCTGTATTATTTCTGGTCTCCTCCTCAATTAGTTCCCAAAATCCTTCATTTTCTAGTTGCTGCATGACATTTAGTAGCTTTCCATCGTTGTAAATTGGTTCGACGTATAACCACTTTATCCGCATTGTGATCACTATAAAACCACCTTATTGGGAAAATATCGAAAAATTAAAGTATGAAATGTTTGGTAATTATTTAAAAGTATTTATCACGTGGTAGTTGTAACAGCTTGAGAATTTGGATTAGTTATTCTCATTGTATTAAACGCACTTAAGACTGCTTTATGTTCGTTTTTATTGTCCACACAGTATGTATGACTTAGACCTATATACACACAGTGGCGGCTCATAAGGTATATTTTGTGAGGGTGATTAGCTGTCTAACAGGGGGACTTGAGCTCGTAGGCCCAAGCTGGGGAAAGGGTTTAGAGGGTGTTCCTCCTGCCAAATCAGGAACCCTTGGATGGCCAGCAATGACATTCTCAGACTGTGCAGGCATGTGTTGGCTTGGCGTGGGCCTATTTTTATATTTTTTTTTAGTCCGACTGACCGACGAGCTCTGTCCGATGGGGGTGGGGGTTGACCTGTCCTGTGGGTGACTTAAGCCCCAGCTGCCCCCGCCACTGGATACACAGTATATTTTTGAAATATGTTTTGGAAACATACAAAGTATGTCTTTTCGTTTCAATTACATGAGGCGAGGGATTGATCTTTATACGTGTGTTTTGGCAAGGGGGAGATGTTGTGAATGCGTATGTATATAAAGAACAAGTTCACAAACAAGTGAAATATTTTGCCTTCTATCACCTTTAAATCATCCCTCTATTATTAGCGACTGGTAATAAGGCCTAGGCCTTGTAGATATTGAAGGGAACATAAACTAATGATGATGTCTCTTATTAATGGTTTTTGTTGATGCATTAGTGCATATTCACCAGTACCATAGCAGCCCGTTTTTTGAGTCTTGACAGTCTTAAGTATATTTACTTCATATTTCTTAATTGGATTTTTTAGTATTTAGCAAAAAATAGTTTTGTAATTAGTTATTCTTTAAACCCTATGTTGTTTGTTTTAAAAAATAGTAAGGTTAAGTCGTTATTATATATAGCCTACATAATTATATATAATACCAG